CAGTGCCTCAAAGTCTTTTCACTTGTCTTATTTGTTTGGTGTGGTCCTAAAAACAGTACTTAGAGTTGTTTAGTGATAATGTCACTTCTGGGTGCAACTGGCAACTTCAGATGTTTTCTAGCTTTGGTTCCTTTTTGCCTCAGTGACATCACATTAACAACTCTACACCTGTTTTCATAACGGGTGGGCGATACGGCATAAGATGACATCAAACTTTTTCTTGGTGCCAGATCACTTTTTTGTTGTTGTTTTTTTTTTTAAAGGTGCACTGCGTTACATTTCTGCTTTGTCTAGAATTGTCCACAGGATAGATTAAACTGATCTATTGCGAGGGAGGCAAGCAGGTTACAGCATTATACTACATTAGAGTTCAGATCTGTGGAGAGTCACCCCTATTTACAGTAGGAATTTGTTATATTTTTGAGCAACAGAAACACCTGTAATGAGTAAATACTAGATATATATTTTAATGTCATACCATGGAACATTCCAGGCAAAGCAATAACATCTCCATGGTGACAAGTAGTTAGTGGACCTCCATCCTGAAAAGTTGTGCAGTGCACCTTATTAAAAATCATAATTGTGATTTTAAACTCACAATTCAACATTGGTTAAATCCTGCTGTCACTCACTCCTCACAGAGCCTCACACAAACAAACAAACAATGGAGAAGTGGTTGGGAAAAACAGTCTGTGATACGCTGTTCATTTTTATATTCAATGCAGTTGTCTGCTCAAAATAAAAAATCTGCATTACATATTTTCTATACATTGTTTTAAGGCACTTTAAAATCCTACAAAAGTATGCAAAAGTACACAAGTCTTGAAGCTTGAATCTTGCCTTGTGATTTAGTGTGCATAATCCAACTATTTTTATATCCATAAACTGCAGATAGGAAGAGCTTTTGTGCATTGTGAGATTTGAAGCTAGACTGCTAATTCCACATGGGGTTGTGCGCAGAGGCTGCCCTCGGTGCACTCTGCTGCCAGTGAATTATTGAGCGCGTTAGTGTTGGACGTGTCTGTTGCTTCAGCTCACCCGGCCGTGCATGATGTGACACTGAACCAAGGCTGTGCGCACTAGCTCTGTCACTCCACTCAGTCTATAAAGTGCTCTGTATTTCACTTCACAGACAGGTGAATATTAGGGATGCAGCAGTACAGTTTTCTCATGAGTCGATGTGCATAGTTCACAGTATCAATACGATTTGGATTAAGCCTGGGCACTTATTTGAGTTGGCACATTTATCAAATCTAAAAGGCTATAATTAATTAGAAAGAATGTCCTCTGTAAAGATCAAGAAAGCCTGCATTTTTTATAGAATTTTGTTTAGCGCATGTTACTAACTAGAAGAAAATGAAACCAGAAAGTGCTGCATTGGTCATTGCATATTCATAGCTTATACAAGCTCCACATTTACTTGTACCAACAGGAGATATGCACTTTAAAAAGGCTCACAACAGAACTACTAAAGCATGGCTGTGATAGTAAAAGTCTGTTAAATGAAATGCACCTATTTTAATCATCAAACCCGTGAATATGCCAAACGAGTTTCCATCCTCTAAGCAAGCAACACAGTTGCAGTCCTGTAATGAAATAATTTGGTAAAATATACAAAGAATTCTCTTCCCTATATTTCAATACAGCAGCCCACGATATAGATATCAGTATCTGTATTTAGATAGACGTGTGATAGGGCTGAATGGTTTGGGAAATTATATTTATATAATTATATTATATAAAGGCTTGCTAGGGAACATTTCTCCCTATATATGGTTACAAGCATTTTTCATTGTACTTTTTGTTGCCGACAAATTCCTTGTCCATGTCCTTACTGTGACCAACCCACTACCTGCTTGTTTCCAAGGAGATGTTACTGCTTCTCTTTACGGCACTGCCTGTATGTTCTTCTTCTTAATGAACTTATACTTTTGTTTCTGTCTTCTTTTGGTCATCCGCAAAAAAAGCTTTATTAATGCACATGATATGGGAATGTTTCACAGTATGGCTTTAATCACAAGTCTAAACACTGATTGTTGACAATCAAAATTCATTGGGCATTCATCAACATTTCATAAAAAAACTGAAATATGAGTATCTCATAGATTTCTAAACCACAGGGTTGGCAGGTTTGTGTAAGATGCCATATTTCATTGAACGCCATATTTCATTCAAAAATGTAATACCTAAATAATTGTCGTCTTTGTGATTTGCTAATTCCATGTATTCATATTGTTTCTACAATTCAATTGCAATTAATCTTGTAGTGATAAAACACCCACTGTGAAAGAAAACACCCCAAAGAGAAAATTACTCTTTCAAAGTCCCATCTACAATTAAGAATTGAGTTTGATTGCTTGAGGCAAGTGTTCCAGAGTTGGGCATATTAATATTCCCTCAGTGTGGACTCTAAGACGCGTTCACAAACTGCTGCAAATTGAAATAAATATGACTAAGAAAAAGGCAATACTGAGTTTGTGTGATTAAAAGTGGCATTTAATAGGTGTTGCTACTTGCGTTGCCGCTCAGAGTGAATTCTGTCTGAAGTTCCATCCTGTGCATATTTATAGACCCCCTGTGAGGTCTGGAATGGAGAGTATGGCCTCATCTGCTCTCACTGTGAGCTGTACGAGCCAGCACTGATTAGACTGTCACACGTTAAATGTCAAGAAAAAATGTATTTCATAAGGGCTTCACTAAACTAATATGTTGGAATTTTTTTGGTTTTACAAAATGAGAGTTGTAGTTATTCAGAGTAAATGGTTTTTAGTAATCTCTTGAGGTTGTTGGTGTGTAGTTCGCACGTCTTGGCTTTTTGGCAAGGGAAAAAAGTTGAAGTGCATTATTGAAAATTTCTATTTGATTGTGTTGCAAACTTGATTCAGTCTAGTACCATCACCAGATAATAATACTGCTGAAGAAATCATCCTACTCAATAGAGCCCGACCAATATATCGGCCGATATGGGTAACTGGATGGATATCGGATATTGGCCGATATGCTTGCTGATAGGGGCTGATATTTCATGTGGGCATGTGATACGTCGTTAAAAATCTTAGACTCTCTACATTCTGTTCATTTAATCCAATTTACAGACAGATAATTGTCCAAATATGTGGCTCCACATCAGTATTTATCTGCATAGTCATTTGTCTGTGTGTGTGTCTGTACTGTCCCTGAACACACCAGAGTCGCTTCACTCATGTGAGTTTGTTTACACACGTAGACATAGATCCAAACATTAAGATTATTTTCTTTTTACGGACAATCGGTTTGTGTCTGGATTAAAAGGACATTTATTAGTGCAGACTTGTGATGTGAGGAGGAGCCTGTGTGAGCGGTGAGTGTTGGAAATATGTCGACTCTGAAGCTAGTTTTAGTTTTCATTTGTTATGGGTTAGCTGCTGTAGCTCTCACACATAAACAGGCTGTTTTCTATTGGCCTATTGTAAAGTGACTATATTGGCCGTATATTTGTTACTGGACCTACATTGATATGTAAATGAGCTGTGAATAGACGTGTGAATGATGACATTTGCGCATATAATTAATTACCGCGGCGCGCACGTATTTACGGCTAAAAGCTATTAGCGGTAGTTTCTTTACTGGTTACGGGTCGGTCGCAAACGAAACGGCTCTTAGAGCCGACTCTTTGAAGCGAACGACGGGAGCCTGCTCCTTATTAGGAGCCGTGTTTTCTCTTTCTCTCACTTTTTTTCTCTTCACGCCGCATGCAGACTTGTGGTAGTTTGGCAGCGGCTGAAAAGGAAACTTTGAGAAATTTGCATGTACATAGGATAAAAAAACAACAACAAAAAAACTAGCATATTTGGCTGTAGTTTAGCATAAAATAAATAAACCAGGACTAATCTTGGGCACGAGATAGAGACCGAGTCCCGACACTCAGTCCTGGTTTAGTCCTGATTCAGTCCTGCTTTAGACGTGCTTTACACCTGCTTGTAACAAAACAATCTGAAGAGCCGCTTGGGAGCAAAAAGAACCAGCAGCTTTTAGTGAACTGAGCCAAAAGAGCCGGTTCTCTAAAAAGAACTGGAATACCTATCACTAGTGTCTAGAATGTGATGTAAAAATTCCATTAAGTCAACCTACTGTCTGTAAATATGATGTAAAGAGGCAGAATAACAATAAATGTTGCCTAAATAAACCCAATTTAAAATCCACCAGAGCCAAAACTAAGCTTTTTAAACAGTTCAACATTTACAGTGAATTTTTACATCACTAAATATATCGGCGATTATATTGGCCATCGGCAGCTCCAACTTCCATTATATCGGTTTCATATCGGCCACAGCAAAATCCATACCGGTCGGGCTCGACTACTCAATTCAGTCCTATATTCATAAGAATGTTTTATGATTCTAGACATCGATTGACTGAAGCAACAGTACAAAAAGACAGAAATGTTATATAATATTGTGAGCAGGTAAAGGTGTGTTGTATATTGCATTTTTGTTATTGAAAATTGTCTTCTGTATCTTTTGTATCTTCTCTGCAAACTGTCTATTTTAAATTGATTGTTTTTCACTTTTGTAGACCAAGAATGATTTTTAAAGAATGTCAAAATACTAAAAAAAAATGGTTAGAAAGTGACATTTCTGCACTATTGTTCGTAATTTTACAATCCTCTCACACATTTCTGTTGAATTGCCAGTATATCAAAATACTCCCAAAAATGATTGAGATATTCGCCTTTGACAATATCACCCACCTCTATGTTAAAACTACCATCTGTAATTAGACCAGCCGACCCACCCTTGTTGTATTCTCACATATCTCCACTAGATGCTAGCTATGTTACTTCTGTCTGAGTGTGCCAGCTTTGGTCTAACAGAAGAAGACCAGACAAAAAAAATCTAATAAAATCAAATAAACCTACTTTATAAACATGGCTTTAAAGTACATGTGCCTGATGGTAACCTGAATGATATAACCTGTATTGCTTTACATTCTAACATCTCCAACCTTTTCTCTTGTTTCAGCCCTGCAATGTTACTGTGAGCGATGCAGCGCAAACTCCAGCTGCACCACGGACGGGATCTGCTATGCCGCCATCCGTCGCTCGGGCAATCGTCTGATCACGGAGCGGAGCATGTGCGTCCACGAGAGTGAGCTGTTTCCCCGCGACCGGCCCTTCATCTGCGCCCAGTCCAACAAGCAGGAGACGGGTATCTACCCCATCTGCTGCCTCACCGACTACTGCAACAAGAACCCCGATCCCGCCAGCTTCCCCGGTCAGTACCTACCGCCGAGCACTAGGGCAGTGCTGTGGTAGATTTTAGTGTAGAAAAAGATGGAAACTGTAACATTTTAGTTAATTTTAGTTTAGTTTATCTCCTTTTGTACCTCAAATCCACTGTGTATCTTTAGCTAAATTGCTAGAAAGCAAATATTTTAAAAGCATTAATAGCCCTATATAATTTTTTTACAGTAATGCTGCACAATATATTGAAATTCCAAATTGACTTGGCGCAGTTATCGAAATGATTTGGGTAATAGATTGTCAGTAAACAATAAAATATCCAGTCTTTTTTTTTATTTTTATGAAATAGAAATTTTAAAAAGTGTATGATTATAAATTTTATGTTCAACACAACTCTGGAACTCTGCCTGATTTTGACCCCTGACGCTACCTGCTGTGTGGACATGGACAAAAATCAGCCGATTGGTCAATTTATCTTCAACATTTGTGCTCTTTGCTGCCAGCTGTTTATAATAAGAACAACTGACTTGACCCAATATATTAATTAATATGTTTGCTAGTGTAAACAATAACATTAATGTTTGGCTTTGGAGAAGGCTAACAACAACAGATTTTACAGCACTATAAAACACAGTTAATGAGCAAGTTCAATGACTTTGAACCCAGACATCTCATTTCGGAATTCAGAGTTCCCAAGGACCACATGAACGCAGCATTAATGACATGTCTGTTAGTATTTATTTGAATAATGCTTGTGCGTCTAGTATTCAGTCATTATCTGTTTTCTTCCAGGTAGTGTTCATTAGTATTGGCACTAGATCCTTCTGTACACACTATAATCTTAAATAACATATATAAAAGTACTATGGCATACCAATTACCGCTTAGTTAGCGACTAGGAGTGTGACGGTAGATGTATTTGTGCTGAACCGTTTCGGTACGGGATGTTTGGTGCAGGGCAGTCCACAAGTGAGTTTGCGCAATTTGTGTGTGTTTACATTCCACCACTACATGTGCAGCTACACGGAAGGCTCAGCTCTTTAATATTCACGAGGGAACTCGTCCGTCATTGAGGTGGCAGTGTTTCCGCGGCGCTGTATAGTTAGGGCGGCTACCTTGACAACTGTTGCTAATGCCTTGACTACATCCCTCTGAACCACGTGAATCCTCGCAGAACTACAGTCATTGCGCTAACTGCCAGCAGATCTGCACTTACTGCAGACAGTGTGGTTGTTGTTTTTTCAGCCAAAAAATATGAAGACTGAGTAAAACTTCATGCTGGAACTGTTAGTGCTGCGCTTTACTTTTTGAAAACTTTTGTTTACTGTTTACAAGGAATTTATTTTTTATAATATTTCATAAATTTCTTGCTTATTTGAGAATACTTTATTTAACTTATTAGTATTACCGAGCAGCACTTTGCATTTATTTTTTTTTCCGGTTTGTATTATGTTAAAACAAATTGCTGGTTTAATAAAAACACAAGCAACAAGCACATTTTTTTGCATTTTGTTCCCTTTCTGTACCGAAAATGAGCTGAACTGTAACTTCAAAACCGAGGTACGTACCGAACAGTGATTTTTGTGTACTGTTACACCCATATTAGCTACTAGAATGTGGTAAACTTAGTGGTCTGAGAGATAATATAATACAAGACAATACTAAAATTGTTGTTGTAACATTGAGCAAATTTGGGAGATTGATTTTTATCCTCTGTAATTTGAAAACTGCCAAAAACATGCAAAAAGAAAAAGAAAAATTCAACCTGTGATTAATTTTGTCATTCATTCTCTTTGGTGCAGTAATTGAACCTCAACCAAGACCTTTGCTTTACAAGCATGTTTTAGCACACTTCTGATAGGCAGCAACAATATGAATAAAAAAATAAATTTTCATTTCTGAATATTATCATTTTTGTCTGTATCACCTTTTGTTCACCTTTACCTAGAGAATCTTTTTTGACTAGATAAATTCTTTTTTGAATTATATCAGCAAAAATCCACAAATGCAAGCACATTTAAATAGTAATGTGGTGAACCTTGACCCACAATTCTGCCTAGACTTGAATAATTATTTCAGTTTTTTTTTTTTTCCAAGTCAGTGTCTTCTTTGACAATGGAAGTGAATCAAAGAGGAATTTATTCAAGGGTGTGTCCAAGTTTGGTCCTGCTTTGGAACCAGTTCGTGTCCTAATGTAGATTTGATTTGGTCCTGTTCCAGTCCTGGTTTAGTTCTGTTCCAGTCCAGGTTTAGTTCTGGCTTTAATCCCAGTTTAATTACAGTTTAATGGTAATTGTGCAAGTGTGAATGCACAATTAAAATTCATTAACTCTTTCCCCCCTGGACGCCTACTAGGAACAACCCATACATATGTTACTAGGGCTACCCATAGAGCATAATTGCATAAAAGAAAACAGACTTCCACGAGTGATTTCAGGGCAATTTTGGTTCATAATCGAGTATAAAGCCAAGATAGTTTGTTCGGATATCGCAGGACTCCGTACAGACGCATCAGCGGCATTCTCATCTTCGTAAGATTCACTCTCTGTAAGTCCGTCGCTAGTGCTGTTTTCCACTTTATAATCACCTTCATCATCACTTTGAAATCTATAAAAGTCACTTTCTCTAAACTTACCCATAAAATACGTCCGCTCCTCATTATTTCTAAAACTGTGCGCCGCAGCGCGATCTTTCCATTGCACGTGTTTCGTGTTGTGTTTTTTCCGGAAGCTACCATCGTCACTACTTCGATTAACTTCGGAAAAAATCTGCGAAAACATATCCTTGAATCCTAATGGTCAGCCTAGTGTGGGTTGTAGTGGAACCTACCTATCGCAGTCTCTGTTTAAATGTGAAAAACCGAGCCGTTTCTAAAGGTCGTCAAATCACGTCTTTAGTGATACAGCGGAGGTGTCAAAAGTCGTCATTAAGGGTACGGGGGGGTCGTCAAATGTCGTCTTCATGGGGGAAAGAGTTAAAAGATCTTTGATCAGATTCTCTAATAATAACTGTAATTTTTGTCTGTGTTTGCTGTCCAGTGCCCACAACGAAGACCCCTTCTTTAGGCCCCGTTGCCCTGGCAGCGGTCATTGCAGGACCGGTGTGTGTGCTGTGCCTGCTGCTGGTGGTGGCATTCTACGTGTGCCACAGTCACAGAGGCCTGGGGGCTGGAGGAGCAGGGGCCCATCACCACAGAGTCCCCAATGAGGAGGACCCCCACATGGACCACCCCTTCATCACTGTGGGAACCACCCTGAAGGACCTGATCTACGACATGACCACCTCTGGCTCAGGATCAGGTGAGTTCAGTGTAATACTGTCATTACAAAGATCATATGACTCGCATAAGAATATATCCGAAGTGTAGCCTCTGCCTGTTTACGAACACAACAGATTGCACATAAAGGCGCATGTCTGGATGTTACCGAACTGAGAACCGGAACATTACTTTGCCAACTGTTGTGTGAAAAAGAAACCCCTCTTAATGTGGGATGTGTCATAGACGTTGTGTGAAAGTGATATGTAAGGATGTGCACAGCCACACTCTACACACCCTGGTGCAGGGCCATCCTAGGTGCATCTCCAGCCCAGATCTGTGGATGTGTGAGTATTCCTCTCAGGCTTGGCAAAGGCTCTTCTGGCCCTGCCATAAATTAGCACCTCTCTGTGGAGGCTGGCGCCTTCCACACGCTGCCAGCACACGCCGTTTAGTCACTCTCCTGCTGCAGCCAGCATATTGAGAGTGAGGAGAGGGCTCATTTACAGCCGCACATTTGTTTAGGATCCTCCTGACGACTATTGGGGAGATTTTACTCTTCACGAAGGGTGTGACTACCAAACCTGTTATTTTAAAACCAATAAGCCGTTGAAAAGCAACCAATTGGAATTGTAGACATTTAATGAATCCACATTCAATATTTTTAATCTTACTGCCTGTGTCATAGAATTTAAATTTTGGTTTCTTTGAAGTCTGATACTTGAGTAAATGAAATACACATTTGAACAGATTTTAGTCTAATAATGGTGTAATAATAATAATAAGAGCCATTGCTCTTGTACACATGTTGATGAGAGGTTACCCACAGTAACCTCTTCACTGCCCTATGTGGGTCCCAGGCCTGCCACTACTGGTGCAGAGGACTATTGCCCGAACCATCATCCTCCAGGAGAGCATCGGGAAGGGCCGCTTTGGAGAGGTGTGGAGGGGCAAGTGGCGCGGGGAAGAGGTGGCAGTCAAGATCTTCTCTTCCCGTGAAGAGCGCTCCTGGTTCAGAGAGGCCGAGATCTACCAGACTGTCATGCTGCGTCACGAGAACATCCTGGGCTTCATCGCTGCCGACAACAAAGGTGAGTGCAACATTTAAAGTATGGCTAAACACAAAAACTCCACCTACAACCACATTTCAAACAGCTGCTAAACTGCACAGTACCTGGAGGACTTAAGAAAAGAATGAAGAGAGTCGAGGCGTTGGAGGTATAAGGAACAGTGTGATTGGTCTAGCTTCAAACTGCGTCCCTGCAGCCATCTGTTTGTAATCAGGAATCAGGGCAGTCTTTTGTGACGTCACCAACTACTGGAAATTTCAAAGGCCACTAAAGGCAGCATTAACTGAATCAGACTTTTCTGACCCAAGCTGCAAAGTTTCCTAGTTTACACAAAAATGGCCAAAAACGTTGCTATTAAAAAACCCAAAACATTTGGATTTTGTGTTTTGTGCTTAATTGATTTATTGCAGTCCATTATTTGGTAAACTGTTAATGTGAATCAGAGCATTTTTGCAGAGGTAATAGGCTGACAGAATTCTCGAAACTATTACTATGAATAATGATTTTTGCTTTTATCCATATTTCAGAATGTGTGATGTCACGGTCTCACTTTGGGAGCTAGAGCCTTCAGTACAGTTTAATATTTCAAAATTTGTTTCTTCTGGCTGTACTGGCATACTTCAGCTCCTCTTCGGTAAAATTACAATTATGTGTTAAAGGTGCTGTACTGTCTCAAAGGTCCTATGTTTAGCAAAATTGAGTCTTGTGAGCTTTAAACCATGTTCTAATGTAGTGCCCTCCTCATAAACATATGTGCAGTTATGTTTTGTTCGGTAGTTTGCAAGTCAACAGCTATCTTTTACCTTTTGTTCATTAGAGATTGGCAATTTCTGAAATTATCCAAATAATTCTAGGGAAGGTGTATGGAGTTTAAAGCAGTGGAGCACTTTCTGTATTGCAACATGACATCGCAATGTGGAACAGAGTGGTTTTAGTTTGAGAGAAGAAGAGATGAACATAGACTAAATATACAGGATTTAAACTTTTGTGAATGAAAGAAAACACAACTTGTGATGTATGTTTTTGATGAGGAAACATTATAACATGGTTCAGAAATAACTTGGGCATGGGCAATTTTTAATAACCTAAAAAAAATTAATATTTATTCATTACAGCTATCTAAAGTTATATCTCTACTTTTTAAACACATTCCTAATTATGTGCAGTGGGAGTTTTCACAACTTTCAGAGGCTAGAGTGGAGGTTTGCAGTCACTGTAGTGCTTATAACAGCAACTACCATGCTAACAGCGCACCAGTATCACTTCCTGATTTGCAGATCATAAAAACCCTTGGATGAACCCGATAAAGCTGCTTTTTTCTTGTGTCAAAACAATTTTAACTTTATATGAAAAAAATCGAGTACTTTAAGTCTTGTTCGTTCCTTGTTTAGCCTTGGTGTAGTCCTTGTGAAGCAAAGTATTTTCTGAGGAGGTACTTATCAAAAGTTTGAGTCACTGAACCAATTTAAAGTAGGCCAAAAGCACTATTTTATTTTATTTTTTAAGCATTTTGTACATTGTGATTTTGATTATAACATACCAACATTTCATTTAATAAGAAATTGGGCAGGAGGTAGTTGCTGTGTGATTAAGATAAGTGTCTGGAATAGGGATGGGCATGATTAATCGATTAATCGATAATTGATCATTAAGAATTTCATCGATTATGTTAATTTTAATCGACAAACCGAATGTAGGTTGCTGTGCGTAGCATGACCAAACAGGGGTCCGTACCTGTAGCTCTCTGCACTCAGAAGGAGTGAGACACAAACATTCGATCAGTCTGCAATGTACCGAAGCACAAATGTGTATTTAACGATGATTTATACAAGAAAATCCAGGCTTTCTTTTAATCCGACAAAAGTTGACCGTATCAGCGACACAAGAGCTGTAGTTTTATCTTCGCTGAGTTTATGCAAATTGGCGATGCGGTTTTAAGTTTCGTTTCTGTGAGAGTTGTGCAAAACTGAATTAAACACATTATAATCTCAGACGGATTGATGTGGCTCTAAAGTCGTTACGGTTTATATGTCGTAAAGTTGAATTTATTTATGCAGATTAGTAGTGCAGATAGTAATAATAATGATGATCATTTTAATATAAAAACGTTAATGATTAATTGATAATCGATCGTTAATTCTTCCGACAATCGATTAAGAAAATTTCATCGAATGCCCATCCCTAGTCTGGAATGAGTAGTCTGAAAATTGCGCCTTTGAAATGAATGGGAGCCGTAACACGGCATTGGAGTGTAAGGTGGGAGAGTGCTGCAGACAGACTGTGTGGGCAGCGGCAAACATGTCTGCCTGCGTGTGCTCCACCCGTCTCCATGGTGATGCTCGCTCCCCTACACCTATATTATGCACACCTTCAGTACAGTAAACATTAGACAGCGGTAAGCCATGTTGGTCAGGAGTTTTGAATTTTTTTCCTCTAGTTCATGAAATTGCCTTTAAAGGTCCAAAATTTAATGTTGTGAGCTTTATGCCAAGTTAGAATGTTGTTAAACTCATCAAAAACATACCTGGAGTTTTGTTTTGTTTCATTCACGCATGTTTGAGTAATCCTGGTTTATTAGTCTGTCAGCGTTTTCAAACCTCAAAATGCTCTGTTCCACCTTGTAAATATGCATGGTTTGTGTGTTAAACATGTGTGCATGAAATAGAACACAACTCCAGATATATTTTTGATGCAATGTGTTGTCAAAGCTGACATTTGTGAAACAATAAAAAATAATGATATTGCCTAAGCATTAATTAGAGGTATTTTGGGATAAAAACCATACAGAAGTAATTATCTGGGATGGTTCCAGTGAGTTGTTTGTCTATCATGGTTCAAAATCAGAGTGAGACTGCGGGACTCTGAACAATGTTTCTCTATCATGGTTTCAATTACTGTATTTTTCAGACTATAAGTTGCGTTTTTTTTTCAAGGTTTGGGTGGTCCTGTGACTTACACTCCGGTGGGATTTATATATTAAAATTTTCAGACGGACAGCCATGAGAGGGCGTGCTAAGCTTGTGTGTCAGTATCTAGTACTACTATTACTCCTGTACCACTGTCACTTCGCACTCTACTGCGCATGTCTCCTGTAGAAAACACCGCTGTCTTGCTGCAAATAGTGAAATATGCAGCTGAAAACAGTAATCGAGCAGCAGAAAGAACGTTTGGAGTGAGCGACAATCTTGTGAGGGACTGGTGGAAAGCTTGGATGGAGAACACAGCTTGACAGCAACCGGTGGGGTACACCACGCAACTTTCCTGGAAGTCATTGGATGAATTGGCAAAGCCTGAACTTCAGTGACAACCGAAACCATCCTGTCAGGATAGAAAGAAAGGTAGATAGAAAGGCCAGACTAATTCTAACTGGAACTGATGCTGAGTCTGACGACGGCTACACAGAAGAGGAAGCGGCGCTCTGTTTACATCATGGATCTGTGGTTTATCTCTGGAGGTGAGAAGTGACACCGAGGATGAAGAATTCTATGGATTTAGTGATTTGGAGTGAGATCGTGAGTTTGGTAAACTTGTGTTATATTGTTTATGCTATAATTATCTAAATAACTGTTAATATGTTAACGCAACATATTAACGCTTATTCAGCCTGTTGTTCTCTGTTCTATTATTATTACTATAACTTGACTTTGATGATGAAATGTTGGTTCCTGGTCTCTGATTTTATAAAAAACATTTCTCCAAAAAGTGCGACTTATGTTTTTTTCCTTCTTCATTGTGCATTTTTTGGCTGGTGCGATTTATACTCTGGAGCGACTTATAGTCTGGAAAATACGGTACCAACTTTTCTATTGGGGGTGAGGGGCAGCCACCATATAGATGTTGCCTGGAATGTTTCACAATACAGTCCCTGACAAGAGTCTTGTCGCTTATCCATTTTGTAGAAACAAAAGCTTATAACTTGACTTTAAATTAATCGATTGGTTTTAGAAATGTCTCGTATGAAAGCTAAAACCCTCCCAAATTATGCTCAATAAACTAAAATAAATTTGCTTCACTGAAAAAAGATTGATCATTTAATGAACACAGAAAGGTCAGATTTTGGCAAGACAAAAGTTTAGTCGCCTACAGAAAATTGAACAAATAATTTACTTCAAATACAAAAATATGTTGCATAACGTCAGTGAATTAAGTAGTGGTGCTGTGAGATCCATATTTAATATCTTGTATGACTTCCATGAGCTTGAAGGACGCATCCATGTGGTTCGACAATGATTCATACAATTTGTTGATGAAGTCATCAGGAATAGCAAAGAAAGCAGTCTTACATGCCTCCCAGAGTTCATCAAGATTCTTTGGTTTTACCTTCCATGCTTCCTCTTTCATTCTACCCCAGACATGCTCAGTGATGTTCATGTCTGGTGACTGGGCTGGCCAGTCCTGGAGCACCTTCATCTTCTTCGCCTTGAGAAACTTTGATGTCGAGATAGAAGTATGCAATGGAGCACCATCCTGCTGCAAAATTTGACCCCTTTTATGGTTGGGAATGTAAGAGGTAGCTAATACTTCTTGATATTTTAGGTTATTGATATTGCCTTCCACCCTGCAAATGTCTCACACACCCCCATACTGGATGGAACCCCAGACCATGATTTTTCCGCCACCAAACTTAACTATTTTCTGGGTGAATCTTGGATCCATGCGGGCTCCAGTAGGTCTTCTGCAATATTTGCGGCGGCTGTGATGTAATTCAACCGAGGATTCATCTGAGAAATCCACCTTCTGCCACTTTTCCAGTGTCCATCCTTTTAGCAGGCTGTGGGCCTTGGCAAATGCCACACGTTTTTTTAATTGCCTTTTGTTTAGTGCTGGTTTCTGTGCACTGATTCGACCATGGAGGCCATTTCGAGACAGAATTCTACAAACTGTTCCGGTTGACACAGGGACTTGAGGTGACCAGGCCTGGTGGAGCTCTGCTGCAGTGGAAAATGGGCTGGCCTTGGATTTTCCAATCAACAAATGGTCCTCCCGAGCAGTTGTCTTGCGGGGTCTGCCGGACCTGGGCTTGTCAGAAACATCTCCAGTCATTTCAGGTCTTTTTCTTATTCTTTGTACTTGACGCTGAGACACATTGAAGATGTCAGCCACCTCAGCAGTGGATCTGGTCTTCAGCCTCTTGATAATTAATGCTTTGGTCTCAGGGTGGATCTTAGGCATGTTGTCAGAGGTCAAGTTGCAGTTGATGTGAAGGTCTGGTGTGCTGAGGTTCTTTTTATACACAAAAACTAACTGATTGATCAGTAACTGATCACAGGTGAGGCTGTAATCTAGGATTGGGTGCATCATATGACAAGGCGACAAGACTTTTGTCTTGCCAAAATCTGACCTTTCTAAATGATCAATCTTTTTTCAGTGAAGCAAATTTTTTTTTGTATATTGAGCATAATTTGGGAGGGTTTTAGCTTTCATATGAGACATTTCTAAAACCAATCGATTAATTTAAAGTCAGGTTATAAGCTTTTGTTTCTACAAAATGGATAAGCGACAAGATTTTTGTCAGGGACTGTATATTAAACTTGGCTAACATGCATTTATTCAATTACAGCTGTTTTTATTGCTTAAAAATATCCGAAAAGCCTGCATTCTGACTGTGAGCGTTGGCGTCTCTCCATAGATCTGACCTGTAACTTTTCACATACTTTTCTCCATTCAGATATACAAGTTGAATGCCATTGTGTAATATTGTGGAATATTAAAAGCAGGTAATGGGTCCTCCACCAGAAAGGTTACATAGAGTACCTATTAACTGAGCCCATTTTTACTTCACTGATGATTGTTCAGTGTTAAAAATGCAAAGCACCTGTGTATATTTTAGAATGTACACTTTCTTGAAACATCTAACCTTCAAAGCACTTTCATCAGAGCTCTTAAACGCAGCTTAGACAATATATAAATAATACTTGATAAATATGTAAATCTGTGTGTGTTTGTGCAGATAATGGCACGTGGACTCAGCTGTGGCTTGTTTCGGACTACCATGAACACGGCTCCCTGTTCGACTACCTGAACCGCTACACCGTGACCGTGGAGGGTATGATCAAACTGTCCCTGTCCACCGCCAGCGGCCTCGCCCACCTGCACATGGAGATCGTAGGCACGCAAGGTGAGATGCGACACACAGCTGGTACATTACAATGCTGGGAGAACTGTACTGCGTACGTGGTGGTTCAACTAGTGGAAAATTTCAAGAGTAATATTAGCATTTTTTTTCTTCTTCTGATTAGTATTTATTGGATTGTCTTTGTAAATAAGCAGAAATGTGCTAAAATGTGCCCTTGGTTGAGGGTCAAGTATTGTGCACAATATGAACAAACTGCAAAATGAGCCGCGCAAGTGCAGAAATTTCACCTTGTCACAGTTTTTAATTTTTTTTTCTAATCGTCCCTTTTTGCAGCTACTTTTATTTTAGCTCTGTATTCACTATACTCAGCATTAAAAGTTTGCATCAAGATCAAGAGCCAGGCTATGATTTAGATTTGATCTTGATGTATTTTGATGCATCTTTTCTAAAGCTATCTGCTGTTTCTGAAAGTTTACATTTATGATTGGTTAAATCCACCTGTCACTCACTCAGAGCATGATGGAGGCTGACCAATAGAAGGAGTGGGTGGTGGGAAAAAAAAAAATGGTTTTGACAATAGAGCTGCATTAAACAAAAAAAGTAGGGAAACACAATATGCCAAGCTGACCAAAATAGTCTATTACCATTTTATTATTTTTTACTCCTTGTTATTGTAATATAATGTGATGTTGAGTTACATTGTCCAAGTAATTTCCCTTGTGGATCAATAAAGTTTGTCTAAGTCTAAAATGAGATTACGGTTCAAACTCTACTAGACTATTTCAATATATTGCCCTGAGTAAGTTTGTATTTCTTCACAGTGAAATCCCTGTAGACTGTATTGAAAACCACAGATCTGACTTGCTGTCTGCTTGTGTAGGTAAACCGGCCATAGCTCACAGAGACCTGAAGTCCAAGAACATCCTAGTGAAGAAGAATGGCACGTGTTGTATCGCAGACCTGGGGCTGGCAGTGCGTCACGACTCTGCCACAGACACCATCGACATCGCCCCCAACCACCGGGTCGGAACCAAGAGGTGTGTTCACTGCCCCACTCTATGCTCAGGCTTTCAGACTTCAGATTTTTCAATATCTTTTGGTATTGAAGATTGACTTGGCAGGAAACAACACAAGATGCTAATCCTGAATTGCAGCAATCATAACATCAGAAAATAGATAAAACCATTTCCATAAAAGCAAGTATAAAAATTGAAAAACTGAATACACTCTAACACAAGCCTAGCCTATTTCACATTGGGCTGATTTTTGTTCCTTGTTTTGACCAATTTCCAATATAGCTTTCAGTTATTTCAATGCTAGCTTAGTTTTCTACCATGTTATAACATTCTATGCATGTTTCAGTAATTGAGAGATCTCTCCTGGGCCCTCTTCCAACCCTCCTTTTGGTTAGACGTTAGCTCCTGTCCAATGCTCCGCTCACAATCCATGATCCCACAAACAAACTGATCATCGAATACTGGCTCGAACGTCCCCCAGGCTTGAAAGTCCCAGCTCGAATGTCCCATTCTCTCAGCTTGAACATCCCCCTACTCCCTTCCCTTGGGCGGTACTTGGGTAACTGCTCTGCCCGGGAGAGGGAGGATGTCCTCACCAGTCTTCAGTTGGCTGCATCACGCACTGTGATGTACAGAGTTAGAAAATCAGCTTCTATATCATAATAAATTGAAATGTGAATGTAGCGAGACCAAATGTCAGGCCTTGTTTATGTCATTTTACCAATCTTCCCGAAGCGGCACATATTTTTTTCAGTATGTAATATCAATATAATCCTCAAGTTTACTATGAAATCATATTTAAATTTTTTTTTCTTAATCTGTAACTGTTGATTTGGGAAGAAATATAAATTATTTCCTTACCTGCCATGAACATAATTTGTAAGCAGCGCAACACAAGAAACTTGGAAAGCTACAGAATTTCAAAAATCATTCAGAATCACTTTAGACCACAGTTGAGACCACATTATTTTTGCATGTGTATGCATTTGTATGCATGAATAAATGTGTTGAGATATAGTGTAACTTGCGTGTGTACAATATACATAATGACAAAAAATACATATAATTACATATAATTTTTTTTATATGTATATAGATTAACTAACTTAGTTCCATAAAGGGTTACAATTAGGGTTACAAGTTACAATTCAGGGGGACTTTCCAGCCAGTGGGACTTTCCAGCTGGTTCCCGATGGTGCTCTGTTAATATGTTGTTTCTGGTGAATATAGTATTTCCAAACCAAGTAAAGGCAACATGATCTAAATATGTTATGTGTTAGCAATTGTACTCCATACAAGTGTAATACCCCTTCTTAATAAGAGAAACTTTTTAATCAGTGCCAATTTTCACACAGATATAGTCCAATTTTATTCTGAACACTGCTCCAAACCACATGTTTTTACTGACAGAAAAATTGGTTGTAGAACTCTTGATTAAATAGCCCCAAGCACGCCACTGACAGCTCGTTTTGATTAAAATTCAATTAATTGTGCAACCCAACTTTCGCGCCACACACAACTTTTCAGATAGTCTGGCTTTTTAACAATAAGGCATTAGGGGAGCATTTTAATACTCTGGTTGTTTGTAACCCGTTTGTGAAGTGAATTGTGAATATTTTGTTGCTAGGAAACTGCTGTTTTACATTGCATTTTATTGTGCTTACATAAATAGCAAGGTAATTAAGGTACAGTTTTAGTGGCCATACTAGATGTGAAGGCTAACACCATTTCAAAATGCTACTTTAGTCTTTCAAAAAGCCATCATACGCTTGAAAGTAATTGCTACTGTAAAGAGGCAGGGCCAGCAGAACCAGTTTTGCAGCTTTGAACAGGAAGTCAATGCACCGTTTCTATTAAGTCTTTTTAGATCAGTATTGCGTGTACAGTGAACAAAATGCATTATGGTGATTTGCTTGATTTCATAGTCTATTACTAAATGCCAAAAAAAGCAGCATATGTCTCTGTAAGTGCAGATATTACTGTTCTATTCCAAAGGAGAAGGATTTAGATAGTGGGGTTGGATGTTATATCGGTTCCTGTATCAGTCGATATCAAAGAGAGGGTTTTGGCAAATTGCTGAGCTGTTGTATGTCCCAAATATCTGCAGGTTGATTCAATATTTTTTCCTAGTTTGTCCTCATTGTAATAGATTTGACTTTTTGAATAGATCAATGGGGAGAAACCGTATACGGTATAAAGAAGTGGACTAAAGCAGTGTGACGTCACCCATAGCATGGCTCCAGTCAAATGAAGCTCATGAGGCTAGCAGTTATAAGGGCCAATTTGGAGCTCCATATTAGGAATAGGAATTTATTTAGGGACAAAATAGCAAAATAAAAACCACAGGATCGGATTAACACAAAAACATTTTAAGACCTAAGTGACGAGACTCACTGCAGCAGTTTGACAGAGGAGTGACAATTTTTCACTGTAAAGACAATGGGAGCCAGAGTCAATGGAGCCGGAAGTGCCCTCATGCACACTTCCCTATTTGGAATGCGGTGGCTAGCTGGTTGGCTACGCCTATTTATATTTACAGACTATGGGAGAAATGGAATATTTCTGTATCACAGATGGCTGTATCACACGTCATGCTAAACCGAAGTAATTACTTTATAGCCAAGATAAATCAAAAAGTTAGTAGTACAAAAGTGTACAAAAAGTAAATTTATGACATTTATTTCATCTTAAGTTATATTTCCTGTCCTTGCTATGGATTTATTGAGAAATACTGAACCAAAAGGCGGATAATGTATCATCTCAAAAATTGTGTATCGGACCATCCCCAGCGATTGGTAATGTAATTGACGATTGTATTGCGAAACTTTAGGTATGTAACAATGACCGAAATATTGTAATATTGTATCATCAAAGTTCTCACAATAATATCGTGGACCATCACAATGTATCGAATGACAAGTTTCTTTGCTTAACTTAAGAGTTATGGTGCAGGAATAGCTAAAAAAGACAGGGAACTACATAGACCATGATCCTTTGCTCCATTTCAGTGTAGACTACTGGAAGAAATAACAGTTCTAAGCACTTTTAAGTCTTAGTTCTTTGGATTAAGTTTTGTCAAGGCATTTTAAGAGGAAAAAGTAGCGTATTAACAGTTTTGTTAGCCTCCACAAAATATCGCAATAAATATCGTAACATGAGATGTATATTGTGAAAATACTGTACAGAGAGATTTGGATATCGTTACATCCCTAATCGTGAGCCTCGTAAATTTCGTAAAAATCATAAATATTGTACTGTGTGGTTCATACCGTGACGATATCGTATCATGAGACTTGGATATCGTTACACCCCTACGAAACTTGCATTATTGTAGTATCACAGTTGTTATTGCACACCTTATTAACAAAACCTTTAAAAGCACTTCCCACTCTTTTGTATCTTGAGCTATGTGTGGTCGTGTCCGGCTCCACTCTCCTCTCTCTCGGATCTGATAGGGCTGATGATAAAGCTGCTCTTTGTCTGATCAGGGCTGACCTTGGCTACTACTCCTCTTGTGATGCAGCCTGAGCCCACATTATCAAACGGTAACATCTTCAATAAAGGGCCAGGTCCGCAACTACACTTCCAGGTGAAATCAAAACTGTGAACTACTCTGGAACAGTGCTGGCACTTAGAGAAGTTTTGCGTACTGGGTTAGAGCTGGTTGATTAAAGGCATCCTGTGTAGAACTATTGGACTGATAGTTTCCTGTTTTGAGCGGAGAATTTTAATGATAACCTTGGAGTTGATGGAGCTCAGTATTGTGTTGTCACACCTTTTTGATTTTCATTTAGCCTAATGTTAAATCAATGGAGATTTTAAGATGTTAAATACTAGCCTGTAATTTGTTAAGAAGCATAATATTTTCCACAAGCAACAAAATACCCTGCTTCAAAACTGATAGAACTATAACTATAGTTTAGATCTGCACAAACATGTTCTGAAATGTAATTCTTGTATAATTTTGTCTGTTCATATTTCAGCATTTTTTCAATTATTCTGGACGTGTTGGAAATGGGAACTTTGAACAAAATCGTATTATTAAAACATAAATTCGCAATCCTGGACAAAAAAATTGCAATTTGATATTTTTCACAAATCATTCAGCCCTAGTAAATACAAAATTTAACATTAATTCAAAAAGTCCGACTAAGGACTGATAATGTACCAGTAGTGTATCTCATAGTATTGGGTCTTGTTTAGTTTTTAAAATAGTTTTGGTTAATGCATGTAACCAAAACTTAATGTTTAGTTAATGTTTGGTTAATGCATAAAGAAAAACTTAACCTGGATTTATTTGCCGTGACTCCAGTTTAGATTTTGGTCTATTTGATAAGCACATCTTCTATGTCAGTTGAACTGCCATTCAGGAAGATTGTCCATTGGCTCATAAGCTCCAGCATAGGTCAATATTTAGTTTGGGCGGACTCCCAGACTAAAGGAAATGCATGAAGCTTTGTTTAAACACTTATGTTTGAAGAGGGTCTGCACAAAATGTAACCATGCAGCTCGTTTAGAGGTCTGTTATCAGATAGGGTTGTGGATGTCTGAAAATAATGGCTTCAGAATGGATAAATATTGTTGCTGTTTTACTTTTATAATGTACACTCAAGCTGAACAATTTGGGAAGATATCTAATTGCAATTTTCTGAGAAGCATTGAGACTGTGATTTGATTTGTGTTAAGTTTTAAGTCGCCTTATTCTGCCCTGCCCACTTTTGTCTTTTAAATGCTTCTAAACCGCTCTTTCTTGTGGTAACACGTCCGGTAAACAGGGATCCCATTCATTTCAATGGTGAATTTGAGAAAAGTTTTGCATCTTAAATATGACATAAAGTAGACTCCTTTGTGTAAAATGTTGTGCACCATCAAGTCAGCACTCCATCTACTTTCTGGGCTTTAATGTGACTTTATAGCCTGTTTTGAACTTATTTGCTGTAGAGAGCGGCAGCCCCATCCAAAATAATACAGTCTGAATAATGATGGTGACGCCCACGGAATACAGTGAATAGGATTCTGTT